TCTATTATGCTAACTTTTACTGCGAAAACATTTTTCTTTAGTAGAAAATTGAGAAACTTTCTACTTTACAGATAAAAGATGCGTCCAGTCATAAAATCAGTTAGTAGTAGAATGAGAACAGTGTACTCCCTGTTACTTCTGTGACACAATAATTTGTTTTTTATTGTTGCCAGTTTAAAATTAAGAACTGTGTTTAAAGTTACTTGAGAAGATATGGATAAAAGGCAGCTGGGCTAGTGCTGAGTTACTTAACTGTGATGCCCTCATTAAGAAAACGGATTTCAGCGCCACTGAGACTCCGTCTCAAAAAAAAAAAATGGATTTCAGATGGATTTTATAAGCTGCTTTAGCATTTGGTGACATGATATATTAGCAAAAACAGTTTCTGTTTTGAAACCATGGTTTGTTTTTAAATAGGAAAATTGTGTCACTACTGAATATTGGTAAATTCTGTTCCAATATCAACAGCTATTTGGAGAAAAAAATGACTCCAACAATGCATTTTTTTTTTCTTCCAGACCTTTGAGGACATAACATGTTTTAGCCTTTCTAAGCAAATTGACCTCTTGATTTTTGGAGAAATTATAAATTCATCTGAATTTTCAGACGGAGAAAAATAACCATTTAACAAATATTTATTAAATCTTACTGTAATGTTAGGCATTTTGGAGGATTATGTAAAGATGATTACATAGTCTGCCACTGGTTTTCATTTGATAAGTGGTTGTTCAAATCTACCACACTGTATAGATGCATCACCTGTTTCTTATGCATGGAAACTGTATTGATCTGTTGTCTAATAGAGTCTGAAGGTGGCAATAGAGGTTACATTTGGCTACTGATGAGCTTCCATTTGCTTGTTTTTTTAACATCATGGTGCCAGGTATCTTGCTGAAACCAAGAAAAAGAGATAGCTGTTGCTGTTATAGATTGGTGGTAGCAGTGGATGGCGGGTGCCTGTTATTGAAGCACCATTCCTCAGTCATCTCACTTCATCATTCATTTGGCTGGTGGAGGGTGGATTGGAAAAGGTATTAATTATAGTTATTTAAATTATAATATTGTTTGGTTAAAGAACACTGTATATTGTATGTTTCATTATCCTTAGATGATTCAGTCTGCTAAAAGATTCACATTGCAGAATTTTCTATCATTTTTTTTTGATTGGAAGTTTAGAGATTTTACCTAAAGTTGTTCTGTCTTTATAGGAATTCTGTATTTTTAGTTATTTGATAACTTTCCATACTATTTTCCATAGAGGTTGAACTAATTTACATTCCCACAAACAATGTGTAAGCGTTCCCTTTTCTTTGCATCCGTGCCGACATCTGTGGTTTTTTGACCTCTTAACAATAGCCATTCTGACTGCTGTGAAATGGTATCTCATTGTGGTTTTGATTTTCACTTCTCTGCTAATTAGTGATGTTGAACATTTGTTCATGTATTTCTTGGCCACTTGTATTTCTTCTTTTGAGAAATATCTCTTCAGCCATCCCAATACTGGGTATCTACTCAAAGGGAAAGAAGTCATTATATAAAAAAGACACCTATACTCATAAGCTTATTGCAGCACTGTTCACAACAACAAAGTCATGGAGCCAACCTAAAAGTCCACCAGTAGTTGACTGGGTAGAGAAAATGTGAAATGTGATATATATAGACCATGGGATATGACACAGCTACAAGAAAGAATAAAATCATGTCCTTTGCAGTAGGATGAATGGAGCTGGAGGCCATTATCCTATGTGAGCTAACTTAGAAAACCAAATACCACATGTTCTCACTTATAAGTGGGAGCCAAACAATGGGTACACATGGACATAGAGATGGAAAAAATAGACACTGGGGACCCCAAAAAGGGGGAGGTTGGGAGAGGGTTGAAAAGTTACCTGTTGAGTACAGTGTTCACTATGTGGATAATGGATATACTAGAAGCCAAATCCTTACCAATATGCAATGTACCCATGTAACAAACATGCACCTGTATCCTCTGAATCTAAAATTAAATTTAAAGAAATAATAAAAACAAGAACTATTCAGCTGAGCTCATATTGTAGAACCATACGAAAATAAAGTTTTATATTTTTTAACACTGAATTTTGTGTTTGTGTGCAACAGTGAGTAACTGAACAAGGGACTTGGAAAATATGTGTTGACTCAATAAGTAAATGAATGAATAGATGGAAAAATAATAATTATAGGGATTTTTAAACATACAAAAATGCAGTTTCAGTATTTATCACATATGACCAGTCTTGTTTTAATCTGTCTACCCGAATTAACTTTAAAACACATTGTAGGCACGATATCATTTGATTGGATATTACTTCAGTATGTGTCTCTAAATTATAAGGACTCTTTTTTTAAAAAAAGTAAATGAAATTAGCATGCTAAAAAATTAACTAATTTCTCAATATCACCAAATATCTAATTAGTATTCAAATTTCTCTAATTTTCTCACAAATGCATTTTTATAGTTTTTACAAATCAGGTCCGAACTCAGGTCCATGACTAACATTTGTTTGAAATGTCTCTTATGTTAATATTCTATGTATTTCCCTTCCCTTTTGTGCCTTTTGCCATCGATTGCATAAGTCATTTGTCCTATAGAATTTTTCATGTTCTGAATTTTATTGCTGACATCTCTTTCCTGTCACCATATCTTTGTTTCTTTATTTCTGGTAAATTTGTAGTGTAAATGGTAGTGAAATCCGAAAAGTATGTATCCAGTTTAGGTTACATTTTCTAACAATAATACTTCATAAATGGTGAGATGGTTGAATTTTTGAATTGGTTGATAAAAGCATGTGGGTGATACATGTCAACACTATTGTTTTTTTTTTTTTTCCTCCAACTAAGATTTATTTCTTATTGCAGTCATGATGATACTGAATAGCAAGTTAGAGGAAACAGCTGTTCATGTGTAATGTTACTAACCAGACCTTTCTTTAACAAAATTATGTATTTGTGATTTGGTTTAGGTTATTTATAAAGAGCAACAGTACTGTGAAACAGTAGGAGTTCTTATTTGGCATAGGATTGCTAGACATGGTCAGACTACACATGAGTAAGCTTTGCCTTCTGAGTCATTGGATTTGGTTACATTTTTGTCTACTCAAGGGTCTGGCCAACTTTACTTTTCCTACTAAGGATGATGAAATCCTTGCTGTTAACTTTATGCTGGAATTGTAAGTGTGAAAATTCATCCAGTAAAACCCAAAACTTGTAGTTAATTTTTATGATTTATATAGAAGAATTTAAGTAAGAAATGTAACTTTAAATAGAGTAATTTTATTACAGATAGACTTTAAAAGCCTCTTTGTTCTTATAAAATAAAATATGGTATTCCCTATTTTGAAATTTATTCTGAATAATGTTAAATTTTCATAATCAGTTAAGCTCTGTTGGAAACTTTATAAACGAAAATTTTTTTAAATAGTTGATTTTAAAAAATATTCTTAAAATATATTTACTTGGGCCTGATCACCCAGACTGGAGTGCAGACATGTGATCTTGGCTCACTGCCATCTCTGCCTCCCGAGTTCGAGCGATTCTCCTGTCTCAGCCTCTTGAGTAGCTGGGATTACAAGTGTGTGCCACCATACCCGACTAATTTTTGTGTTTTTAGTAGAGACGAGGTTTCACCATGTTGGCCAGGCTGGTCTCAAACTCCTGCCCTCAAGTGATCTGCTCACCTCATCCTCCCAAAGTGCTGTGATTACAGGCATGAGCTACTGTGCCTGGCCAGGAAATACCTTTTTCTTAGAAAAAATTCTAAGACTGTTGATGTTTATCTTCATGGAATTTTTTTTTTTTTTTGGTTGACTAATGAATGTTTGAATTTAGTATTTCTTTGTATATTGTACTGATTTATATTTTATTGTAGTTATTTTCAAAATTTGATGGATAAGTATGTTGGTTCATCTGCTGTAATTTTTATAATGCATTATTACCATGTTTGGTGATAATTGCTTAGGGGATACTCAAAACCTGTATTGTTTTCTTATAAATAGAGTGCAAGTGAGAAACAAATGATGTTACTCAGAGAATATTGAAAAGATGTTAGTTTTGCTTTCTTAGAGTGTGGGTCCTTCTAAATCTTTAGTTAAAACAAAAACAACAACAATAATAACAACAAAAAACTGTTCCAGCCCTTTTGGCATTTGTTGATGCACTTGTTTCTTTTGTACATTTTCCAACATGCCTTTTCCTATTAATAATAATCATTATCTGTAGTAGCTTATTGTAGGTGTTTTGAGACAATTCCTTAACTCTGTCTACTTCTACTGAAAAGTGTTATGTGGGACTGAAAATAATAATGCATTATGAAATGGTCGTTAACAGTTGTGTATTTACTAGGGCAGTGATTATTTTGATTTCATTTATTCTTTAAAGATAAACCAAAACACAATAAATAATGTTGTTGCTTATAAGAATTCTCATAAAAAAGCAATCTCGGATAGTAGAAAAAAATTAAGATTTTGTTTTTAAATATTTGCTCCCAGTCGTCACAATTTATTTTAGAAAATTGGGATCAGATTTAATGGTTGTATTGTTTTTTGTATATGTCATTATTTTGATGAATATAATTTGCTGATATCCTCGCTGATGTCATAAATCAGGAATGATTTATAGATGATGGTGAAGTTTGTTAATTAGATAATGTCAGAGCATCTTAATCATTATGGATTATAAAAAATGTTCATTTTATGGAAGTTTTTCTCAATGTTGAAGTACTCTATTGATGGCATGCTTTTTCTTAATCATCGGTGTACTTTTTTACATTGAAATAACTGTCATTTGAAGGTTCATCATTTGTCAGTAATACAACCAATTTGAATCATCTGTTGTTTCAACAGCTCTTTGTTTAGTCTTGTATAGATCAACAAACCAGAATATTTCCATGGGTTTAGTGAGGTCTCTGATTATTGTAGTGAGTTGTAAAATGTGAGCATTTGATCTCTTGGTAAATCTTCTTGTGTTTCCTTTTGTCTTTGCAGATAAATTATTAGTCATAACTGTAGCAACAAAAGAAAGTGATGGATTCCATCGATTTATGCAGTCAGCCAAATATTTCAATTATACTGTGAAGGTATGGTATATCCTTTAACCTTTAAAGATCCTATAATGTGTGCCTAAAGTACAGTTTTCATAATAACAGCACTACAATCTGTAATCCTCACAAGGAAGATAGCATTTGGTTACATAATTGCTGTTAGTTCATATAGTTTTTGGCCTTATTAATATTTCCTAACACAAATAAATGGTAAATGCTTGAGGTGAGGGGATAGCCAAGGTATTCGGATTTGGTCATTACATGTTGTATGCCTGTACCAAAATATCACATGTACCCCATAAATATGCAACTATTATGCACCTGTAATACTTAAAATAATACTGTGCCACTTAAACAATAATTTCTTAATTTTTGCCAATGCTTTGTATAAATATGTTCTATAAAACAGCAAAAAAAAATGTTAATATGTATTTGCATATATATATAATTTCTTTCTGGCAGGTCATATACAAATACAATGTAAATAAGATTTGGCAGGGATTTTTTTCACTGAATAATTTTTTCTGTAATGGACTTCGCTATCATAGGATGATTCTTTGTTTACAGAGAATTAGAAATATAAATGTGAAGAGGGTGCCTTTTCTGTCTGTTGAGAATTTTCTTTTCTTTTTTTTTCTTTGGTTCATTTGTTTTCATTTAGAGGAATTTGGGAGCATTGTTATTGTATTTTTAACCAAAGCGTTTTAGAAAATTTATCTCCAGGTGAACATCTCATTGACAAGTGATCAGAGGAAACTTGGGGAAACTGATAGAACTATTAAACTTAGCTATGAGAGGTCTGCCATTTTATTTACTTACTTGTTTTTTCTAATAGAAAGAAGGATCTGTCAGCCAAGTCTTTTCTACAGATAAGAGGAGAACAAGGAGATACCTAGGTAGGAACACAAAAAGCAAAAAAACTTTTTTTAAAAAAAAGAAGAAAGATTACTTTTTGGAGAAAAAACTGATCCATTTGAGTATATAATGTATTAAAAAGGTAGTTTTTATTAAATAACCACTGGAATACTAAATGCAGATGTAAATATAGAACAGCTTAATGTTAATATAGAATAGCTAATAAACAGCTAAACTTTGCTGAAAAGGAGATGTAGTGGTAATAACTAGATGTTTAATACAGGATAAATGAAAAACATGTTAGAAATATGTTACTATGGTAGAAGAAAAATATACGCACCAATAGGAGACACTGTGGAAATAAAATTAAAATTAAGATAAAATAATGCTGAAATCTAGTTGGGGAATCATTAGGGTTCAGACTGGAGAGAGAGTGGAATGTTTCTTATATGCAAGGCGCCTTGTAGGGAAATTTATATATGATATGCTGTTAAGTCACTATATGAACCGCGTAAGGTGGATACTACTTTATTTCTGGATGAAGAAAACTTGTCCTAATGCAAATAACTATAAAGTATAATATCAGATCTTGGACCCCATCCCCACTTAACTTACTGGAATTTATGATCCTTTTGCTGTCTCCTCATATAATGCAGTGGTTCCCATTAAGTGGTTCCACAATAAGTGTGGACCTTAGACCACCAACATCTGCATCACCTGGCTGCTGGTTAGAAAGAAAAAGTAGTCAGGCTCCATCTCAGACCGACTGGATTACAAATTCTGGGAGTGATACCCTGAAGTCTGTGTTTGAACAAGGCTTCCATGAGATTCAGATGCACACTGAAATTTGACAACCACTAGTGTAGTAAAACGAACATAGAGGGTGGTGCTTAACATGGTGTATTGCACAGAGCAGATTCTCAGATGTCATTGGGTCCAATATTGCTTCAGAATTAGGGATTCCAGATGGGTTGTGAAACAAATCTCAGGGCCAGAGGAGGCCAGTTTTTAGAGCAAGTACTATTAATGCTTCAAGATTAGCCTAGTTTGAATCCAGATCCAAAACAGCTTGAGTTTTCTTGGGTTGTATTTTTCCCTCAGCCTTCCGCAAAGGAAGTGATAAGTTTTAACAAGACGTTTGAGGCTGGGAGTCCCACAGGCTTTCCCGGCAAGACTTATCTCTGACTCAGTATTAAGTAAAGTTAGAACTAATGGTATTTATTATTAAATTTTATTTTATCCTTTTCTTGTGTGTTTATTTTTAATTTCATTCTCCATTAATTTCCCAGATCTCTTAGTAGATTATTATAATGGCAGCTTCAGACTTTGTTTTGATGAAACGAAAAGAAAAGGTGTGTGTTGTGTGGGGGAAGGGTCATGTATTGTACTTTCTGTTCCCTTAGAGTCAGTGTGTCATAATGCATTTCCAATTCAGGGAGCAGCTGCTGAGGCTCAAGCAAATAGTGAAGAGAAAGGGTACAGGGTAATTAAAATGAAATTTAAAATAATCGTACTTAGGCAGTTTTTTGCATTGAAAAATCCTTGTTAAGCTTTAGACAATTACATAAGTTTAAGAAGTATAAGGTAAAGAAGGTAATTTTTTTTTCTTGATGCCCTCTGTAATTCCCTGAAAAACCCATTTGGGTTCAGTAGGAAAATCACTTAAAGGCCTCTCATCAAGGAGTCACTGAGCTTCAATATTGATCATAAAGATTTCTTGCCAGATTAAAAAAAGTGATATGGGAAATTTATTCATTTTTCTTCTTTTTGGTCTGAACAAATAGGAATAAAATGATGCAATGTGAGAAATACTTTCTGGGTCTACTTCCTTGGGTTAGACTCACAACTTTTGAGATGGTAAAATTGAGAAGGGCATTTTGTGGATGGATAACATTAAAGAATTATGGTCTCACTTAGGCATCTAGATTTTTTTTTTCTAACATCATGATTTCATGAAACATTAGAAGAGTGGTTATTGTACAGTACTGTTCAAGTTGATGATGTCTTTAAGTTTTTCATAGTACTTTCATAATTTGAGTTTTGCTCAGGAATGAAATGTTTTGTTCATAGGTCCTTGGTCAAGGAGAAGAATGGAGAGGTGGTGATGGAATTAATAGTATTGGAGGGGGCCAGAAAGTGAGATTAATGAAAGAAGTCATGGAACACTATGCTGATCAAGATGATCTGGTTGTCATGTTTACTGAATGGTAAGAGAAACACCTGTGAATTTTAAAATCTGTATTAAATTACTTTTTAAAGAGCTGAGATTTGTATTTGTAGATGATGTATTAAAATATGGTTGGATGAGTGGCTCACGTTTGTAATCCTAGCACTTTGGGAGGCCTAGGCAGGTGGATCACAAGGTCAGGAGTTCAAGACCAGCCTGGCCAAGATCGTGAAACGTCGTCTCTACTAAAAATACAAAAAATTAGCCGGGCATGGTGGCGGGCACCTGTAATCCCAGCTACTTGGGAGGCTGAGGCAGAGAATTTCTTGAACCCAGAATGCGAGGTTGCAGTGAGCCGAGGTTGTGCCACTGCACTCCATCCTGGCGACAGAGTGAGACTCCATTTAAAAAAAAATTATTGACAAGGAATCATTGTTTTAAAAAGTAGATATTACTCAGTTATAAAACTATTGTATTAATTAGTTCTCATGCTACTATAAATTCCTGAGACTGCATAATTTATAAAGAAAAGAGGTTTAATTGGCTAACAGTTTCACAGGCTGTATAGGAAACATGATGCTGGCCAACTGCTTGGCTTCTGGGGAGGCCTCAGGAAACTTAGGATCGTGGCAGAAGGCAAAGGAGGAATGAAAGTCTCACATGATTAGAGCAGGAGGAAGTGAGGGGAGGTGCTACATACTTTTAAACAATCAGATCTCGTGAGAACACTGTAATGAGAACATCACTAGGGGGATGGTGCTAAACCATTAGAAACTGCCCTCATGATCCAGTCACCTCCCACCTGGCCCCACCTCCAGCACTGAGGGTTACATTTCAACATGAGATTTGGTTGGGGATGTAGATTCAAATTACATCACCCATGGTCTGACATGATGTAATGCCATCAAAGACAATGAATTATCATGAACACTAATGAGACAACATGGCAAGAGCTAACTAACGTTTTTGTGAAATTCATACTTTAGTCTTGAGTTAAGAATAAATATCATATTGAGCTTTACTCTTGAGAAGGATGACTTAATGGATTCTGGTTAAACAGAAGAAAAAAGACCACGCAAAGTTATAAATACAAGTGAGACATAAGAAAGCCTGTGTTACTAAGAAAGAAGAACCTTTTTAATGTAAATGTATTTTGTGTAATATTTCCCTCTCCTAATTAAAATATCCACTGTCTTTTTTTGCCATCTTCTTATAATTTTATAATAACATCAAATTGTTGTGAGTTATTAGTTACTACTTCCTTTCTTTTATTCTCTGTATCTTATTTGTTTTTGCTATTGATTGCTCATTTTAAGTCCTCGTGAGTTTTCCCCTCTAACTTAGGAAAGTCGTTTTATATGTTTCTTCTCAACTTGAAAATGTAAAGACACAAATTATTTGCAGATGAAAAGAGTAATATTTTTATGCATTAATATACATAAGAAAGTTGTAAATTATGAAATGAAAATAGATATTAGTATAATGAAGTGTGCCATACACACTTAAAAATTTTCAAAAGGTACATAACACTTGCATCTGTAAAATTTTCCTGTTATATTTTACGCAAAAAATTAAGTTCTACCTGTGGTTACCTATTTTGCAAGATGAAGTATGGTAAGGCAAGTGTTAACCATAGTGTACTGGCAATTTTTCTACAACATTTGTTGTTTTTTTTACACTTAGAAAAAGAATACCAAGTTCATTAAAATAGCTCTGTAGAATAAATACTGAGTATGTTTTGGTTTGAAATTACCATGGATTTCAGACAACCATATTAGTCAACTTAAACTTGTCACATGTACATTTTCACTTTGGCTCTGAGGCAGATTCTCCTTGTAAGAGTTACTACATACGAGTCAGTAAAGATTTTAGATCCCCAAGGTTCCTTTTGGGTTTTAGGAAGAACTCCTTTTCTCTACCATTACTCTCACATCACCATCCGCCACCTCTGGCCCCCTATCTAACGTTTATCCTTGTGGACAGGTGGTGTAGTGTGGGACCTATTTTTTTCTCATGAGAATTAGGACACTGTGAGATACCTAAAGCCAGCTTGAGTTTGAGTTTGTTGATTTAGATGATACTTTAAGACCTAGCTTGACAGAAAAGATAATAAAATTTTAATGGAAGACACAGTGTCTTCCAGGCACTGTTAGTGTTTGGGATATATCACGGAAACAAACAGATAAAATTTCTTACAACTCCTGTGAGAACAGCCAGCTAACTGAAAACATAGGTGCCCACTCAGCCAAATAATTGTCTAAGAAGAGTCATTAACATTTTCTCCGTCATTACCTACCATGACTACCCTGTGGAAAAAACCTAGGGGTCATGAGAAAGTAGCCAGGGGAGTAAAGAGGGATGAGCAATTGAAGCCACATAAGAACTTTTTTTTAACCCCACTTATTTTTTAAAAACAACACACTTTTTAAAAAGTATATACAGAGTGATGAATTTAGTTGAAAATTGTAGGTAATCTAGGGCCCGGGAGAATGAATTAAGTGAACTAAGCTGTTTGTAAATGGTTTGAAATATGATGCCCATTCTGTAACACAATTCTTAAACTCTTAATTAAGGTTAGTTCTGGTAAAGGGCTGGAATTCAGGATATATTTATTTTAATAAAGCAAACACATTCTTATTTTTTACATGGTATTTTTAAGGACAATTCAACTGTAATAATTAGTTTTATGGAAGCATAGGTCACTATTGTATGAAAATATACAGAGATTTATAAACTTGGTGGTTTAGATGAGCCTTTTAAGAAACACAGCTTTGTTATGGTATAATTTATATAACATGCCATAAACATTTGTAAGTGTAAAATTCAGTGAATTTAATTAAATTTACAGAGTTGTGCAGTCATCCCCATTATTCAATTTTAGAACGTTTCCAATACCCCATAATTATCCCGTATGCCATTTAGACATGCTAAAAAGCCCAAATTAATTTGGAAACAATTTTTTCACATTCCTTCCATGGAATATGTATACTAAAATTACTTTTGGATGAACATTTAAAATTAAAAACTGGCTCTTTAAAAATATAATGTGTAGGGTAAGATTTATTATACTTAATTTAGATAAAAATAAATATTTGGCAAGGTTTTAGGTTATTCTCAGAACAAAAGGAAAACTGTAGATATCCATATAATAAATTCAATCTTTTTTGCAAGTTATTTCATGCTTCAGTGTTTGTGTGTTTCCTTGCAATTAAAATGGCTTATAAAGTTTGATAATCTCTCCTTGATTAGAACACCAAAAAATATGAATTTGGTGATTTTTTTTTTAAATAGGCTAATGAAAATTTTGAGGACAAATATTACAATTTGGTAGCTATCAACTCCTTTATGGAGAAAAATGATGTCATAAATATTTTATAGTATACCTTAATCAAGTGAATGAGCATATTGAGTTTTATAACTGGGTACTTTACATTTGTTTTAGAATTAAGTTACAAAGCTTATATTTCTTCTATTATCGTCATATTGAAGAGAAGTGATCAGACCTAATTATTATATGTTGGCTAGTGCTTATTATTTTTGTAAAGATAATATATAAACCAAAATATAACAAATTATTTGTGTTCTTGGGAGTAAATTTGATACATACTTAATATCCTCACACAACTTTTGCTGTGCTGCTTACAGTAAAATATAAACTAGCAGAGTCTCAGGCCCTAAAATAAACCTATGGTGAGGTAAGTTTTCCAGATTTGGGGGCATCAAATAAAGTCGCCTAATAAAAATTTTGACTGTTCTTTTTTCTTTTTGACTAAAAATTTCTTTTAGATTTAAGGAAATTTAGAAGAAAACCAGTTAGAAATAATGTTGGCGTAATTAATACTTGAGTTTGAATTTGGGACAGGACAGACATTTACACTTTCATTGGTGGCACTTTGTGTAACTCAACTGATTAGAATGTAGATGTGCACCATATTGAAGACTCCCGGTATATGAAATATTTGAAAGACATTTAGTGGTGGTTACTGGCCTTACAAAAAAGGAGTATTTCTTTTATGGAAATATCTACTCAAAGATATTGATATATAGAAACCTCCCAGTTCTTTGAAGTATTTGTTTAAAGATGATTATGAGTTTGAGGTAAGATAAAAGAATTGGCTGTTGCGAATTTAAGTTACCAGTAGGAAAGACTAAACAGAAAAAAAAATTGGAATGGTAGTCAATGGTATACTATACAAGTTGATATATATAATTAAAATAAATGTAAAGCGTAGTCATTATTTGAGCAGTTTCTTAGGCAGCTCTGATCTGCAAAGTTGATCCAAGATAAATAAATACTGGTTAAAATGGAGGGATAATTTCAGTCACACAAATCCCTGCTGTTCACTAGTGTACCTTATCACTTTGATTGTATATGCATAGTTTCTTTTCAGTTATGCTGAATTGTAATTGTGTGTTTCACACAGTGAAGCTGGGGCCTGTTCCTCAATTACATACATTCAGGGTGCAATAGCAAGAAATCAGTTGAGTAATGGTGAATTGCATTAGAAGAAGAAACAGGCCTCTTAAGAAGGGAAAATAATGGTGGATGCTTTGAAACTATTTTTTGAGATTTTTTGTTGTTCATTTGGAGAAATAAGATGACTTCTAAAGGCAGGAAGGTATCTGAACTTTTTAAATACCAAAGGATGGAAATTATTTAAAAGTTGAATTTTGATTAGAAAATATGAATATGAGGATATTGTTTCTGATTTCATATGTCAGCCAACTTTTGTTTTGCTTTTGGCTTCTCATTGATCATTATTTTGCTGAAAAAGTGGCATCAGTGAACAGGTTTTCCACTTTGCATTCAGGATACATATGTTGAGCACAAAATGTAATCCAGGCATTGAAGTTAATACTATAGAAAAAGAAATATAAATAGATGCCACCCTCAAGGAATTCTCATGTATATTGTACTAATTCTGCAGACAAAACAGAACAAACATTGTGGAAAAAGAATGCATAGCTTTTAAAAAACCTGAATGTTGGCATAATCTCTTTAGAATCATTTATTTTTGGGAAAGTTGTGAAAGATTGTGT